CGTGATGCCGGTTACCGACGCTGTTGACATTGTATAAAGTCCTGCGTCAAAGAAATTATAATTGTAATCGTGGATTGCCACTGCCTACATTGATAAAATACTAGTAAATTATAAACATTTAAAAAAATAATCAAAAACATGACCCCTGTAAAGGTTTTTCAGTAGACCTACCACTTCATTATTGCAAAACTATAGATATAATAAAATTAGAGTGTCTGTAATATAAAAAGAAAAAGTCCAGATTTCAGAAAGATGATGTATTTGCGTTTACGTATAACGAAAATCGCATTTAAAATTTTTTGTCTGTCTGTCCGTTCGCAAGCCGCGTTTGTCCCGGGTAATCTCCGAAACGGCTGGGCCAATTTCGACCGGACTAGCACTGAAGGGTAACTGACATAAACGGGCATATTATAGGCTACTTTTTTATCTTAATATTGTGTGGACGAAGTCGCGGGCAACAACTAGTTGTACATTAAGAGCAAACAATTTGTATATCTAAAAAAAGCGTACCTTCAACGTCAACAGTTATTTGAGCTATGTGTTCCTGGCCATCATCAAAACCCGCCCCGCACGTCCACTGCCCCACATCTTCATACCTCACTTTACGAATAGTAACAGCACAATCCCCGCGGTCCAAGCTTTTGTTCGCCGGGAAATAATATTTATTCAACAGCGGACTGGAAAATAAAAAGAAAAAAAATGAATAAAATATATCTCTAAGTGAAGACGTTACACGCATCCAACTGCTTAACAAAACATTATCATATTTAGTACTTACTTAGTCGCATTAATTGATGAATCAATACTAAACGGGCTAGCATTCGGTGGTTCGAAGCGGCAGTAACTCAATGGCACTAGACCCTTGGTGGTGACACACGCGAGGGTAACGGGCTTGCCGTGGAGAGAGGTCACGTTAGCCTGGACAGCCGCCACTTCCCCCACAACACGCACCTCGATCCTCTTCATTATCTCGACCCTCACTGACTGCACTCCTATATGACACTTCCATTCTCCAACTTCCGCCGCACTTGCGTTTATCTTCACTTCACATTTAGCGTTTGTAACCGAGCTTGATCTAAAAAAAAATGATAGGATGTTTAGAGGACGTCTTAGAATATCTATTTAAAAATTTAACAATTTTATCAACTACGCTTACTTCACTTTATATACATTGTAATTATGCAATACTAGCTTCCGCTCGGCTCCGTCCGCGTGGAATTAAAAAAAACAAAAGTGAGTAGCCTTTGTGTTCTTCAAGACTATCCTCTACATCTATACCAAATTTTATCGAGATCCGTACAACAAACATCCATCCATCTATACTTTCGCATTTATAATATTAGTAAGAATAATGTGCAAAACTGATATTTACTACTAAATTTTGCTATGAATTTAATTGATTAGTGTAAGTAATCTCTTTTTCAAAAGACTTTGAAGTCTATATCTCATGCGATCAGTAAATGGGAAGAGTAAATTTCATTCTCTAAATAAACAAGCTACAACTTTCTAGTTACAAACACTAAACTTCAAAATCAATTCGTCTACTAACCCAACAAAATAAACGATTGTTTTCCTTTTCGTTTAAATATCACAAATTGAATTACACTGTGTTAAATAGTAAATATACTTACGAGAATCTTTTACCACTGGGATGAACAAATCCACAATAAGATATCGGCATATTTGCCTGGCATTGTATCGTCACTGGCTCATCTCTAAACGCCAAGATATTCTGTACACCATCGTAATCAAATATTCTGAAACCTTTAATAAAACAACTACTAAATAATCAACTAATAAACTATAAAATTAAAGAAATAATTAAACTTTTAGTACCGTTAATTAATTTAGATGTTTGTATATGTAAAATAAATAAAAACAAACAACTTTTCAATCCATCCATTTTCAAATCACGTAAACAACTCTCAACGACTACAATATTAATACTAACTACCCTCTCGCATAGATAACTAAAAGTTAACGAGATGTCAGAAGTTCAACATTTATCAGGTTTTCTTTCGTATCGATAACCGAATAATTAGCAAATAAATTGTTACTATGATAATATTGTATTTCATAATACTTTAAAATATATAAACAAAATTATGTATCTGCCACCGAGAGATTGTTAAATGCAGACTGTTTGTTATTTGTCTAGCAAATTGTATATTCGACAAATTGAAAATCGAATTGATTCATTAATTGACGTTAGCCCCTTTGTACACAAGGCAATGTTTATTTTAAATCAATATTGTATCTTTGCGTTGCAAGTATAGCGTACAAACGATAAATCGTCGACTCAAGTATTCGGTCAGTACAGACAAAGTGATAACGGCTAACCTAATTATAAAATATCAATATAGATCTCCGCCATTTTCATAATCGCATCGATTTCTATAACAATTTTAATGAACAGGTTGCGAGCGACTTGCTTTGCCGATCAGAGATACACGTCGACGACTCGTGCGTCGCTTAGCGACTAAAATAGCCAGGTTTCAAAAATGTATATCGCCTTGTGTATGTGTCGGGCCTCATATTTACACACTTAGAAAAGGTTAATCGATTATTAAAACAACAATTATCTATGTAAACTGTATTTAACTTTTTGATTTTATATTACAACCAACTATGGTACAATGTATTTATTTTCTTCTGTTTCTCGTGTTAGTTTTCTTTCTGCCGCGCTCCGTATTGTCTGTGGTAAGTTCTTGTTGGAGTTTCTTTAACATTTGTGGTGTTATCAATCCCTGAAAGGGGCAAAAAAGCTGTGCTAAAATCTAATCTTACTAATATTATAAATGCGAAAGTTTAGATGGATATTTGTTAGAGTTTGTAGCCTAAACAGCTATAAACTGGATGTAATTTGGCATATATGTAGAACATAGTCTAGAAGAACACATAGGCTACTTACTTTTGTTTTTTTTTAATTCCACGCAGACGGATTCGCGGGCGAAAGTTAGTCAAAAATCATTATAAACACTTTTTTCATTTAGATTAGACCAAATCCATAGTAATATTATAAAGACGTTAAAAATTCTGTTTTGCATATAAAATATTTTTTTATAGTTTAGACTGTGCAAATTTAAATAATTTTGCACCTTTTTTGCAAACTTACCTTAGCTACTAGCATTTCAGACAGTTTTCCTTTGGATTCATCTTTACTTTGCAAATGTGATCTCGTTGACTTCTTCCCTCGTCCATATGTCTCCT